AAAAAAGAAATGTAGAAACGTTTCGTCTTTCATCCGAAAGACTTCCTCAGTCTGAGGTGCTGTATTCAACTCAGTCTCTTAAATAGCACCTTCTCAGAGTGGATCAACCAGTTTTGCTGCTGACAACCAAAACCAGCTGCTCACATGGTCAAGAAGGACCATCAGCCTAACAATGGATCATTAGCACCTGATGGCTGTTTACTATTCACAGGAGGCTGAGTGATACTAGCAATCACAGCATTGTAAGAGGAGGACAGTTGAACCCGGAGGCCTCCACTGCAAAATACTTTTTGCAGTTTGACTCCCTTCACCCTTTGGAGCACAAATTAGGAGTCATCAGGACTCTGTAGCACAGAGCAGTCAGCGTCCCCACTAACTCAGGAGCAAGGCAGAAGGAGAAATCCTACACAAGACAGGCTCTAGAGCAATGTGGATATCCTAACTGGGCCTTCCTGAAAGCAGAGAAGAAACCCAAACAGGACTCCAGTCAGCCATCAGGTGAAAAGGAGGAACCCAGACCCAGACCAGTGGTCATTCCATATGTTGAGGGAGTATCAGAGAAACTGAGACGTTTATTTTCTAAACATAACGTCCCAGTATCCTGATGCATGCTCAATAATCCTCATGCTCAATAATGCATGCTCAATAATTGTAAATGGATTTAATCGTCATTTTGTGAACATTGGATCAAGCCTTGCAGCTAAAATACCAAAAGTAGACAATATTGTGAACCATTCAGTTATAGGTTGTGACAACAGTATTTTTCTTAATGGAACTGACGAAGAAGAAATAATGAATGTAGTAAAAAATCTTACAGATAAGAGATCAAAAGACTGGGTGGACATGGATATGATGTTTGTAAAGGACATAATGAGTTATGTTATCGAGCCGTTTACATATATTTGTAATTTATCATTTTCAAAAGGAATATTTCCAGACAATATGAAAGTAGCTAAGGTAGTTCCTCTCTTTAAAAATGGTGATAAATGTGTGTTCAATAATTATAGACCAATATCCTTATTACCACAATTCTCAAAAATTCTAGAAAAACTATTTGTGACCAGATTAGATAAATTTATTACTAAACAAAACATTCTAAGTAGCAGTCAGTATGGGTTTAGAGCAAAAAACTCTACATCAATGGCTCTCATGGAAATAATGGAACAAATAACTACTGCTGTCGATCAAAAACAGTATTGTGTTAGTATTTTTGTTGATTTAAAAAAAGCATTCGATACTATTGACCACACTATTCTCCTTGAAAAATTAAATAAATATGGTATAAGAGGACCAGCATTACACTGGGTATCTAGCTATTTAAAAGATAGGAAACAGTTTGTACAAATAAATGGTGTAAGATCTGACTTGTGCAATATCACTTGTGGAGTTCCTCAAGGCTCTGTACTTGGACCAAAGTTATTTATTTTATATGTGAATGACTTAGTGAATGTATCAAGACTCCTCAAATGTGTCCTTTTTGCAGATGACACCACATTTTTTTGTTTGGGTAAAGATGTAAAACGGATGTTGGAACTGATGAAGACAGAATTTGATAAAATACAAACTTGGTTTAAAATTAATAAATTATCATTAAATTTAGACAAAACTAAATACATGATATTTAGTAACAAAAAGAAAACTGTTGATGATCCATTTAAAATTGAGGGTGTTGAGATTTGTAGAGTTAATGAGATGAAATGTTTGGGTGTAATCATTGATGAACAGCTAACATGGAAAAATCACATAAATTCTGTAAGAACAAAAATATCTAAATCTATTGCAGTACTATACAAAGTCAGGGAATTATTAAATGATAAAGCTCTGTACATGTTGTATAACACAATCATTGTTCCACATTTAATCTATTGCATTGATGTTTGGGGGAAAGCGTGTAAAACATTTACAAAACCTATTTTTATTTGACAGAAAAGAGCTGTAAGAATTATCACCAGAAAGCATTACAGTCACCCATCAAGCACATTATTTTATCAACTGAAGTTATTGAAGTTCCATGATTTGGTAGATTATAGTATTTTATCAGTTATGTATAGGGCTCAAAATAACACATTACCATTAAATATCCAAAGAAATTTTGTTAAAAGACAAAGTTGTTATAATCTTAAGGGGATAGAAATATTTGTCAAACCAACATTCAGAACTAGTCTGAAGGGAAGGTCTACCTCAATCCAAGGAGTTGGATTGTGGAATGGTCTAGAGAGTGATGTAAAAAATGCCAAGTCAATGTGCACATTTAAGAAAAAGATCAAATCTAGATTGTTAAAAAAGTATATATGAAGTAGCTTAGTGTGTGTTTTTTATTAGAATTAGAAAAATTAGAAAGTTATTCATTTTGTTCTGTTACTTGAAAATTAATATGTCTGAAATAATTGTTTGAAAAAAGGGGCAGATATAATAAGATTTTTTCTTCTTTCTGCTGCCTTTCATTTTAAATTTTTTTTGTATCTTTTTATATATTGTTATGGAATTGTTTTGTACTTTTTTTAAAATGAATAAACTTCATACCATACCATACCATCATACCATAATCCAGGTAGAAAATTCTAAAAAGTTAAATCTGGTCCTCTGGACATTCAAAAAAACAAAACAAAGCAAAACAACAAAAAAATGTAGAAACGTTTCGTCTCTCATCCGAGAGACTTCCTCAGTCTGAGGTGCTGTATTCAGCTCAGTCTCTTAAATAGCACCTTCTCAGAGTGGATCAACCAGTTTTGCTGCTGACAACCGAAACCAGCTGATCACATGCTCAAGAAGGACCATCAGCCTAACAATGGATCATTAGCACACTGATGGCTGTTTACTATTCACAGAGGGCTGAGTGATACTAGCAATAACAGCATTGTAAGAGGGGGACAATTGAACACATAGGCCTCCACCCCTGTTTAATGATGGACGATTTCTTTTCACAAAGATGGCCTCCTTTACTCCTCTCTCAAACCATCGTTCCTCTCTATCCAGGATGTGAACATCTTCAACCCTGAAAGAGTGACCGCTGGCCTGGAGATGAGTGTAGACCGCAGAGTCCTGGCCTGATGATGTTGATCTTCTGTGCTGGGCCATCCTTTTGGCCAGTGGCTGTTTTGTTTCCCCGATGTAAGACTGATCACAGCCCTCCTGACACTGAACAGGACTCCAGTCAGCCAACAGGTGAAAAGGAGGAACCCAGACCCAGACCAGTGGTCATTCCATATGTTGAGGGAGTATCAGAGAAACTGAGACGTTTATTTTCTAAACCTAACGTCCCAGTGGCTTTTAAACCCCAAAATAGATTACGGCAAAGACTGGTTCATCCCAAAGATCCAGTCCCCCGGCACAAACAGAGTAATCTTGTGTATGCTGTTCAGTGTCAAGAGGGCTGTAATCAGTCTTACATCGGGGAAACTAAACAGCCACTGGCCAAAAGGATGGCCCAGCACAGAAGATCAACACCATCAGGCCAGGACTCTGCGGTCTACACTCATCTCCAGGCCAGCGGTCACTCTTTCAAGGATGAAGATGTTCACATCCTGGACAGAGAGGAACGATGGTTTGAGAGAGGAGTAAAGGAGGCCATCTTTGTGAAAAGAAATCATCCATCATTAAACAGGGGTGGGTTCAACTGTTCCCCTCTTACAATGCTGTGATTGCTAGTATCACTCAGCCCTCTGTGAATAGTAAACAGTCATCAGTGTGCTAATGATCCATTGTTAGGCTGATGGTTCTTCTTGACCATGTGATCAGCTGGTTTTGGTTGTCAGCAGCAAACTGGTTGATCCACTCTGAGAAGGTGCTATTTAAGAGACTGAGCTGAATACAGCACCTCAGACTGAGGAAGTCTCTCGGATGAAAGACGAAACGTTTCTACATTTCTTTTTATTTATTTTTTTGTTGCTTTGTTTTGTTTTTTGAATGTCCAGAGGACCAGATTTAACTTTTTTAGATTTTTCTACCTGGATTATTGAGCATGCATCAGGATATCATCATTGTATGTTTCTATACAACAAAATTATTTCTCTGCATTTAATCCATTACACCTGAGATACACCCAGGTGGAGCAGTGGGCAGCTATGTATGCGCTCGGAGAGAAATTTTGGGATTGGGTATCTTGCTCAGAGACACCACGATATGTGGGAGTGGCTGGGAGTCAAACCACAACTTTCTGGTCCCGGGTCAGCTGCCGCGCCTCTACCCCATCGCAGCCTCCATAAAATAAAAAAATTAACAAAAAATAAACATGAAAATAAACTTCTAAACAGAAAACTAAACACTGAAAACACACGGATCATGACCCAGGCAGATAAGAGTTTCTGCAGAGTAAAATAAAAACCTGATCGATCAGTAAGTGTCAGAGCGCGTCGAGGATGTGTCTCAGCTGTCACCGCCACAGACCTTCTCTTGCCTATAAAACGGGTTGAGTCGTAGCCGTTGTGGTGTTGGTTGGTTGTAGATGTTTTATGAACTGTTTTAATTTTTTTATCTGCTTAGAACAACAAATGAAATTTAGCTGTTGCAATTATTAATTTATATTTGTTGAATATTTAATAACGTGCACTGTTTTTTTAATGAATAAAATGGTATCTAATGATTACTCTCAGAAAGTTTTATTAAAATCTGTTCACTGTTTTATGTTTTATTTCGTTAATGCAACACACACACAGGCAAACACATCACCTTTTCACCTTTGGCGGTGGGCAATGATGATGATGATGCTGAATGTGAATTTTGACCTCTATGTGTGCCGTAACAATAGCTATAGTACCAAATTAATTTTCCTGATCAAATAAACCTACAAGGTACCGTGTGGCAAAACAGACTGGTAGACTGAACCAACATCAGTGCCTGTCTCAGATCCAGTAGGAAGCAAACAGTAGAGCAGCTCATGTAAGCTCTTCACTCTGTGTTTCAACACATGCAGTGGTGGACTGCCTGTCACACCAGCAGCTCAGCATTCCAGCTGTTTTTACACATTTCCTTTGTAACTAGGTTGTTCTCTGTTCCTGTAGGACTACGATGATGGCTACGGAACAGCTTATGATGACCAAGGATATGAATCATATGACAACAACTACAGTAATCAAGGACAGAAGTAAGTTCTGAGTTTCTGTTTTAAACAAGTTCTCGTGGCAGCTCCTGAGAGATTTTTCGGACAGAAGGGTGTATGTGGAATTTTGATGACATCAATTCTGATTTTCTGATCACATGGTTTCTTCTTTAGCTACATTATTGGTTCTCAAACATGTCATTATGCACCCCACTTTAAAGAATAAAAACTATCAAAGTAATAATACTTGTACACAGTGTAATGTTTGAGAAGATTTGATTTTCGTTTTTCCAGACACAAACAGGCCTTTTTAGAGTTTTCTTTGTTTTACCCATCACTGTCATTCTCACAGCAGGATGTCTCCAGTCTTTGAGTCCACAGGGACATGCAGGCACGTGTCATTTTATGCAGATGACACTGAGACGTTGCGGTTTGTCATCAGTGTAGCTTGGCAGTCAAAAGAATTACTCAGCTGGAGGTAGACATACTGTATATTCAGGTGCTTCTTGGTACCATTGACACTGACCTAACACAGCTAACAAACATTTTCCAGTTTAGAAAAAAATATCATATACAATTTAGAGGTTTATTAGCTAGTTCTTTCACACAGTATGACATTTTTGAGAAATACTCATTTTACAGACATTTGAAACAATATAAACAAGCCCTCATTTGACTAGCCATTAGCACAGATTAGGTGAAGATTTCTAGTAGGTGATGTTAATTTATAAAGCTCCTACCGCAGGTGAAAACCACAAAGCACTTCAGTAAAATATCTTGATACTTGCTCAATAATCCAGGTAGAAAAATCCAAAAAAGTTCAATCTGGTCCTCTGGACATTCAAAAAAACAAAACAAAGCAAAAAAATGTAGATACGTTTCGTCCCTCATCCATAAGACTTACTCAGTCTGAGGTGCTGTATTCAGCTCAGTCTCTTAAATAGCACCTTCTCAGAGTGGATCAACCAGTTTGCTTCTGACAACCAAAACCAGCTGCTCACATGATCAAGAAGGACCATCAGCCTAACAATGGATCATTAGCACACTGATGGCTGTTTACTATTCACAGGGGGTTGAGTGATACTAGCAATAACGACATTGTAAAAGGGGGACAGTTGAACTCGGAGGCCTCCACCCCTGTTTAATGATGGACAATTTCTTTTAAACCCCAAAATACATTACGGCAAAGACTTTTTAATCCCAAAGATCCAGTCCCCCGGCACAAACAGAGTAATATTGTGTATGCTGTTCAGTGTCAGGAGGGCTGTGATCAGTCTTACATCGGGGAAACTAAACAGCCACTGGCCAAAAGGATGGACCAGCACAGAAGATCAACATCATCAGGCCAGGATTCTGTAGTTTACACTCATCTCCAGGCCAGCGGTCACTCTTTCGGGGATGAAGATGTTCGCATCCTGGACAGAGAGGAACGATGGTTTGAGAGAGGAGTAAAGGAGGCCATCTTTGTGAAAAGAAATCGAAAATTAAAATGAAATTTAACCTTAACTGGTGCAGAGACTGTAAAACAGGAGTTTTGTTTGTTCCAGTTGGGGGTCCTGGCCCAGCTGAAGTCAAATCAAGTCATTTTGCTAAAACAGGTAAAGAGTAATCAGTAACACTTTACAATAAGATACACAACATTTGATTAACTACTAGGGAACGCCTCAGGAACTAATCAGGAGCTAATGAGTAGTTAACCAGTACTTACTGGGGAACACACAGCCAAGCCTTATTAGATACTTTACTTGTTACTTGTTACTTTACTTGATACTTTACTTGGATTTACCTGTCTAAATAAAGGTTGAATGAATGAAAAACTTCTCTTTCTAAAGCTTCACTTTACTTTAGGGTACACAAACCAGTAGGTAATGGTCAGGTAGTGATTAAGTGCCGTATTTTCCGGTGGATACGTCGCACCGCCATATAGGTCGCATCAGTCCATATTTGTCTAATAAAGTGGAAAAATCCATAAATATGTTGCGTCGCCATATATGTCACATCTATTATGCGTTACCGCCGACGCGTCGCATTTGTTACGTGTCACCACTGACAACCCGGAAATGTGGGCCGAACCCAAACAAGTGGACTGGTGTTGTGCCAAAAACCAATGGGCCACTAAATGGCGGCCACAGGAGCGTGCATGGGAGGACTTAACAAGAATTTAACAAGATTAACACTTAAAAACAATTATTTGTTTGCTTGAAATTACTTTGTATATTAAAGTGTGCATCAGTCTAACGTTTGCTTAATAAATGTACTTTAATGGTAAAATCAGCTGTATTTTAAAACATACTTGACTGCCTTGGTGCTCAATAAACACGCAGAGGACGAGAAAAAGGAGGAACGTGGCTCGTTTCTTCAAAAATTAACAATAACTGCACCTAAACAAAAATTTTTTTGCTCGAAATTATAGCAAAGGTGTGTCTCAGTCTAATGTTTGCTTAATAAATGTACTTTAATGGTCAAATCAGCTGCATTTCGCCGGGGCGGTGCAGCTGGATTGACGGTCGATCCAAACAGCAAGCAGAACCAAGGTGGGGAGGCTAAGGCAGGCCGATTATATCATTAAAAGCTCGTAAATATTCTCAGTCATCCAGGACATGGTAAATTCAAAAAAGTTCAAGAAAAAAAACAATAAAGTATAAAGAATAGTATAATAAATAAAGTCCACTTGTTTTTGTCTTGAACTATTTAGAATTTCTCATTTATAGGCACGTTTTCCTATTACATGATACAACATTATGCCATACAACTATTAATACTCTGCTGCCATCAAGTGGCTGAAACTGGTACTGCTAAAAAAAAATATTCAGTCAGAATGAATGAAAACGGTCATATCTCAGCCAAAAAAATGGTTTATAAATATGGGAAAAAATCCATAAATACGTCGCTTCAGCCTGTAAGAGTCAGAGTCAGAGAGTCAGAGATTCTTTATTGTCATTCGCACCTCGTGGTACATGTAGTGGAGCGAAATTACAGTGCCTTGCGAAAGTATTCGGCCCCCTTGAACTTTTCAACCTTTTGCCACATTTCAGGCTTCAAACATAAAGATATAAAATTTAAATTTTTTGATAAGAATCAACAAGTGGGACACAATCGTGAAGTGGAATAAAATTTATTGGATGTGTCAAACTTTTTTAACAAACTGTAGTGAACTAAGCCTCAGGTCAAATCCTGACCTTGAGGGCCTTCCTGGGACAAGAACTGTTATTTCATTGATTTGAGTCCAGAAACACAAAATTAAGTTCATCCAGTGACTTTCTAAGTGTCCTGCACTGATCAATTGAAAGAACAGTCTCTTTTTTATTATCATTACTATTTTACAAATGTCGTGATAATCAAAAGTGTGTTTAGTTCAAACCATTTTTAAATGTTGAAGTGAACTACTCATTTTAAATCAACTGTGAAACAGTATTAATGATTTTTAATCCTCATTCAAAGTAGAAATCATTTTAATGTTTGTTACAAGAGTAATTATTCATTTTCTTGATCTTCTGTCTGAAATGAGCAAGTGTAAGTTGGTCAAAGGTCAAGTTTCGGTCAACTACAAGTTTACTGGAAAGAAATGGCATGTTTAACTTTTTCAGACAGATATGAGAGAATTGACTCCACGAAGTCTCGGGTTCTTCAAAACATCTTCTGTCTGTTCTTAAACAAACTAATCTTTTTCCCTTGACTTATAATAACCTCTTACATCACTAAGACCACACCCTGTTGGTTCGTATCGACCAATCAGGAAGCTCTCAGAGGAACCGGAAGTGACCTCTTTAAAAGGTTCAACACTTCCTAGTTCCAGGAGAGTGCGGAGAGAGAATGCAGAGTTCAGAATGCTGGAGAACAACAGCAACTAAGCTGAACGAGAGAAGTTCAGAGGAACTATGAAGAAGTCTGTTCTGGGATGATCTCACGACTCCGAACGGTTCCCTACTATCCTTACGGAGACGCTGGAAAGCGTTGAAAGAGAACTCTACACCGAGGCCGAACTATCGTCTGCAAAGGTAAAAGAGTCGATCTTCAACCGCAAAGTGTACCGTTGGTTAAGCTGGGTCCAAAGGAGCGTGTTGTTCTGGTTATAACAGACAAATTCCCTCACCCATCTCTCTCAATTTAAACTTCATTTCCATCTTTAAAACTCTTCTATCTTGCCAGTAATTAATCCAGATATTTTCAGAAATGTCTGTTGTAGAGCTTGAACCCAGATACCATGGCCGTATGGTCTCTGACGTAGAGCTAATTAATTAAGCTGTTGTTGAAATCAATTTGCCAAATTAATGTAAATGTTTGATGTTAAACTTTGATTCTGTTAATAAATGACCGCATTCATTTGATGGGTCAAAGAAAATTAACGTCTCACGTCACATTTAATTTCAATGCACGATATTGTTCAGTCCAGAAAAATGAATGAATCTGTTTAATTTATGAATATATCACAGATATATGTTCATCTACAAAATAAAAAACTGAAAAGTGGGACATGCAAAATTATTCAGCCCCTTTACTTTCAGAGCAGCAAACTCACTCCAGAAGTTCAGTGAGGATCTATGAATGATCCAATGTTGTCCCAAATTATTGATGATGATAAATAGAATCCACCTGTGTGTAATCAAGTCTCCGTATAAATGCACCTGCTCTGTGATAGTCTCAGGGTTCTGTTCAAAGCACAGAGAGCATCACACCAGGAAGGTCCGAGATACTGTTGTGGAGAAGTTTAAAGTCGGATTTGGATACAAAAAGATTTCCCAAGCTTTAAACATCCCAAGGAGCACTGTCCAAGCAATCATTTTGAAATGGAAGGAGTATCAAACCACTGCAAATCTACCAAGACCCGGCCGTCCCTCTAAACTTTCATCTGGAACAAGGAGAAGACTGATCAGAGATGCAGCCAAGAGGCCCATGATCACTCTGGATGAACTGCAGAGATCTACAGCTGAGGTGGGAGAGTCTGTCCATAGGACAACAATCAGTCATACACTGCACAAATCTGGCCTTTATGCGAGAGTGGCAAGAAGAAAGCCATTTCTCAAAGATATCCATAAAATTGTTGT